CCAAACCACCTCGATGTGGTTTAAGTCTGCAAACTGTGCTGGACACTCCATGTTTTCAGGTTTTCCACTTTGTTCTTTTTTCCTGAGGTGCACAGCAAAATGTGGAGTGTTAAAATTGACTCTCACAGAATCAATTTTAACATTTTCTCAGAGTTTATATGAGTCCAATCTGTTCTAGAGTTAATTTTACGTTTTTGGAAATGTTAATTAAGTAACACTGGACCAAAGTTCCAGAAATCCAGACCAAAGACCCTGAAATCCAGAGTTATATTCATGTTTTGAGAGTAAACAGATAACACTTTGTAGAGTTATCCTGATTTAGCTAAACAACACACAGAAGCATTTTATTTTTAATATATTTTAGTTAATTTAAGATGAAATTATGTACAAAACTGATTCAAACTGGTCTTCTCTCACAAGAGTTTGAAGTGGTGAATGGGAGGATCCAAATTAACACTAGAGGAAGTTGAATTAACTTCAACCATATCAACTCTGACATATGACCCCAACTTGAACCCTGATTTAACTTCAAATGGTTAAAATAAAAGGTTTGGTGTTAAAAACAACTCTGAAATATTTTACCCTAAAATTTTAACCCTCCAGTTTTTAATGTGTGGTTTTGGCAGAGCTTGGACTTGTGGTTTGTTATTTTTTATATTTTTTTAACCTCTGTCAGTTCAGTTCTTACCTTTGCACCATTTCAAGCTCTTCATTGGACTTGCACGACTTGAATTGCGATAAATAACTGGAAAAATTAGGTTGCTGTTCTAAAACTTTTGACCGGTAGTGTATCTCTCTTGCATTTGCTCAATTACGGACATTTTATAGCTCAAAAATACCTTGAAAAACAGGAATTCTTACCATGTGCAGGCTCGCTTAAGTTTATTTCCATACTGCGCAATAATCAAGGCAAAACAGAAAAGAAAACTTGCACCATTTTATTACAGATATCAATACTACATAATGTCTAAAAATGTATCTCCAATCACCTTTGTGTGCGTCATTTGCGTCTTACCTAACTCATAATTGCCTTAAAACCAGAACTCCAGAGGCACGTCTCGCAGTCTCACTCCGTTTGAATTGAATTGTTTTATCTGGAGAGGATATTTCTACACTTTTGTTCCTTCTTCTCCGCACCTAATCAGTGAAAAACCTGTCTCCCCTCTGTTAAGTCTAAGTATCTTCATTATAAAAGGACCATCCCAGACTGCAATAACAGGCCCCATTCACTTCCCCACTAAATCCAGCCAATCCAATCTGCTAATTATCCACTGACGCATGACCGATGTGAGGAGCCCGAACGCTATCACGGCTAAAGAGGGTTTGGGTAATCGTTTTGTACCGTAATACACTTAACAGGTAAACCTACTTTTATTTGGGGGACTTATATTATGGATTTGGCTTTTAAACAGTGTGTTATAATGTTTCCTGTTGTTGTTGTGTTTTGTTTTGTTTCATTCACACATGTTTAATTACACCGTATTTACACCTTCACTTGAATAATTTGGATGATTTCAGCCAAATCTCTGTTAGTGGACCCAAAAAATAGACTCAAGGTGAGGGGAAATGCAAAAAGTAGCAAAGATTTATTGTCCCAGGAGGATAGGTGGTTAGTAGGTGAGGTGAGCTGGAACGCAAGAGCGAGGAACGAAGGGGATGTGGATAAGTAATTCTGGTAGCGATGCAAGAATAAAAAAATACAGCCGACTGAATGATTGCGGATGAAAATGACAAAATATTTTATGAGAAGTGCCTTTTGTTTAGATGGTGACGCCGTTTTTGGGGCTTAAAAACGCAAAAATCTGAAACCACCCTCCAGAGTGGAAATGTTGAATACGCTGCATAGTGTTTTCGTCTACACTGCCCAAGACGCAAAACTCTAGTCAGATCTGCTCACGTCACGTATACGTTTACGTCACATACATACAGTACAGAAACTTGGCATGCATACCCAATCGAATTCCAGACACTTTTGCATCACCGTATGCACGCAGATTTCCTCCTGAAAACGCTCGTCTAAACGCGGAATAAAAAGTGAAGACGCGACGCCACTTTTGCGTCTTCTGTTCAGACCGTCATCATATAAACGTAGCTTGAAAAATCACCATCAAATAGACGAAACGATGTGGGAGAGTCTGGCAGGAGAGCTGGGCCTTTGTAGCAAGTCTGATCGTAGACGAAGAGCAAGGTGACTCCGCCCATGTTCACACACAAGACTCTAGTCACAGCCAGGGACGTGCCAATCTCTACTGAACTAAAGCTACGTTTATATGATGTCGGTCTGAACAGAAGACGCAAAAGTGGCGTCGCGTCTTCACTTTTTATTCTTATTCTATTTAAATCTGTGATGCAAAAGTGTGTGGAATTCGATTGGGGAGGCATGCCAGGCGGCTCGGTGATGTATGTGACGTAAACATGTACACGACGTGAGCAGATCTGACCAGAGTTTTGCGTCTTGGGCAGCGTGGACGGAAACGTTACGACAGAGCGTATTCAACTTTTCCACTCTGGAGGGTGGTTTCAGATTTTTGCGCCGTCACCTTCTAAACAAAAGCCACTGAACAGGCCCTAAAGATAAAAGGAGCTGTTACTTTGGTCTATTTTAACCTAACCTAATAAATAGGTTTAATGCAATACTGTGGAACATTTTAGAGAAATCAATAACAACTTTATGGAGACAAAAAAGTGTTTAAAAAAAAAAAAAAAGACATCTGCTAAGACGTTGGATTTATATCTTGCAATGACAAAACATGGAACTTGTAAAAATATATAATTGCTGTAAAAAAAAAAAAAAAAATCAAGATAATTAATCAAACTAATATAATCGTTTGGTGAAGTTAAAGATGCACTGTGTAGCTTTTCTGTTTCTGGATCTTGTATTTATTCTATTACAAGTGTTTTTATTTCTTAAAACTACGCTAAAAACATGAATTATTACTGTGAGCGGGCTCTCTTCTCCACAGATGTGACCTGTAACTTGGCCTGGTGACGTGGCCTAGATTGTCGCCATGGAGAAGGTTAAATTACACTGTTAAAAATTTCAGGAAAAGAACATCTACATAGACTTTGTATCAGAAAAGCTACACAGTGCACGTTTAGTTCTACAATAATATTATTCATTACGATGTGCCCTTGGTGGTTTCCCTCGATAGCCATTAGCCGCCAATTCCCCCTGATGAAAAGGTGCTGGGTTCAGTTCCCCGTAAAGAGCCCACCTCTTATATACATTTGAACATGTAGCACTAAGCCCTATAATGAAGTTAGCTTAACCACCGGCACTCTAGGCTAATTATGTAGTCCGCTAATGGCTAGCTCCTGCTCCTCTCTCTCCTTCTCTCTTTCTCTTTCTCTTTCTGTGTCTTTCTCTCTCTTCTTCTCTCCCTCTCTCCCTCTGGGCTCAGACTTGATGCACAAAGTCATTGTCAAAGTCATTTGTGATGTTGCTGCAGTGTTGTGCAGAAAATAAAATAAAAAAAAACTCTCTCTATGGCTCATAATGATAAAAACTGTAATAGGATTTAAATGTATTAAATGGAGCAGACAAGAACAGCACTTTGTTCATACTTCATTTGACAGGCATGTTGACGCAGGCGTTTAAAGCTCCTATATGACGCAAAACTGACTCTGTGAGCTTTAAGCCATGTTATAATCTTGTTTCCTCCTCAAAAACAGACCCGGAGTTGTGTTTTGTTTAACACACGTTTGAGTAACACTTTATTAGGCTACGTCCACAAGACAACACTACATACATACACACATAAATATTCACGTCCAGATGACAACAGAGCACTGAGTGAAAATTATGTAATACATATGCCGCACCTGTATGTGGCGCTGTTAACAATGATGATAATATTTAATAATGCAGATCCCATCACTGTTTTATTTTTTTACTTTAAGGTAATTTAGTCGATTTTAGATGTATCCCAGAAATGTTTTATATATATGTATGTATGTATATATATATATATATATATATATATATATATATATATATATATATATATATATATATATATATATGAAAAGTTAAACATAAGTTTTTGTTTTTATTGTAACAAAAACGTGCATTATTACTATGTGCGGGCCCACTCCTCCAAAGATCTGACCTGTAACTTGGCCTGGCGATGTGGTCTGGTCTGCTTGTTTCTAGTAGTAATAATAGTTGTAGTAGCAGCAGTAGCAGTAATAGTAATAGTAGTAGTAGTAGTACTAGTAGTAGCAGTAGCAGTGGCAGTAGTAGTAGTAGTAGGAGGAGGAGTAGCAGTAGTAGAGGTAGTAGGAGTAGCAGTAGTAGTAGCAGTAGCAGTAGTAGTACTAGTAGCAGTAGTAGTAGTAGTACTAGTAGCAGTAGTAGTAATAGTAGCAGTAGTAGTAATAGTAGCAGTAGCTGTAGTAGTAGTAGGAGTAGTAATAGCAGTAGCGGTAATAGTAATAGTAATAGTAATAGTAGCAGTAGCAGTAGTAGTAGTAGTACTAGTAGCAGTAGTTGTAGTAGTAGTACTAGTAGCAGTAGTAATAATAGTAGCAGTAGTAGTAATAATAGTATAATAATAATAGTAGTAGTATAAGGTATAAAAATTATAAAGCTAAATATTATACTGTAGAACATTCCAGGGAAAAAAAAACAACAGCTACATGGAGTCAAGCTACCAAAAAAGTTACACAATGCACCTTTAAATAACAAATTTTCAGTGATCAGTACGAGCGTTTTACAGATCACAAGCACCAGATTTCTTTTTTCGCTATGTGATTTCTACATGTATCACTATTAAAGAAAAAAAATATCTGGAAATTAAGTTAGTACAGAGATTTGGGTGTGTATAGGGGGTAGGGGAAAACAGGAATTTTCATAACAATGGCATCCTGAAACAGTAAAATTTAAAAAATCACTCAAACTTACATGAATCACTCTAAATACTACGAGAGGCTAAATTACAATGGAAAATGATTAAAATTTTGGTAATATTTTTCTTTCTTCTGTGTTTTTGTGTGTGCAGGGCTGTTGCCACACACCCCGGGCAGTTCCATGGTGATGTTACAGATGACGTCGCCCCCTAGCTGTCAGCAGCCGCGAGCGCCTTCTCCCTGCCACAGAAAACCACCGAATCACCACAAACACAACAGCGGCTCAGAGCACCAGCGCCCCCGCAGGACTGCCCCGGAACTGCAGCTGCCCTTAGACAACGCACAGGTACAAGACTAGACCGGGGTAAAGGCTCTCAAGTCCTGGTTTAGTTCTGGTTTAGTCCTGGTTTAGTCCTGATCTGGTTTAGTCCCTTATTAATTTAGGATTTGTTTAGGTTCAACTCTATTTCACCTCACAGATTTTGTCCTGGTTTAGTCCTGGTTTAGTCTTGGTTTAGTCCTACTTTAGTCCTGGTTTAGTCAGGGTTTAGTCCTGGTTTAATCCTGGTTTAGCCTTGATACATGGATCTGGTTTGGTCCCTTATTTAGTTTAGGATTTGTCTAGATTCAATCCTATTTCAGTTCACTGATTTTGTCCTGGTTTAATGCTGGTTTAGTCCTGGTTTAGTCTTGGTTTAGTCCCTTATTTAGTCTAGGATTAGTCCTTTTGTCACCCTGTTTCCTGTCACTAATGAAGTCCTGGTTTAGACCTGCTTTAGTCCTGGCTTAGTCCTGGTTTATTCTTGGTTTAGTCCTGGTTTAGTCCTGATTTAGTCCTGGTTTATTTAGTCTTGGTTCAGTCCTGGTTTAGCCCTGGTTCAGCCCTGGTTCAGTCCTTGGTTCAGTCCTGATTCAGTCCTTGGTTAAGTCCTGGTTCAGTCCTTGTTTAGTCCTTGTTCAGCCCTGATTTAGTCCTGGCTCAGTCCTGGTTTAATCCTGGTTCAGCCCTGGTTTAATCCTGGTTCAGCCCTGGTTTAGTGCAGATTTAGTCCTGGTTCATGTTGACTGGTTTTGTTTTTTTGGTTTTTTTTGGTTTAGCCTTAATTTTCTGTATACACAATTTGGTCCAGTCCTGGTTTAGTTTTAGTCTAGACCCAATACTCAGTCCAAGATCTGTCCTAGTCTAGTCCTTGCGTTAAAGCTACTGTAGTTTGTCTGCCCAGTCCTGGTTTAGACCTGATTTAGACTTGGTTTAGCATTGCTTTATCCCTTCTTTTAGCTCCGGTTTACTCACAATTTATTAAGATCTCCTAATGCCCAAACTTTGTCCAAATTATTATGCTAATCGCCAACTCCTCACAGGCTCACGATTTCACCGCGGGGCTCGGCTAACGGCGGTGCTCGCGCTTGTATCAGCATCCGTACAAACCCGACACCAGATTCAATTAGCTCCGCGACCCTGCGGCGGCTAAGAAGACAGCGTAATATCCTTAAAAGTTTTAATTTAATTCCGCCATATTCAGCGTGTCAAAAGTTAAGAAAGCAATTTTGAAAGCCAATTTGGTTTACTTGTTTTATTTGACAGCACCTATGCTCCCGTGTGGCGGCGTTTGGCGGCGCTCGGGGCAGGTTAAAAGCGTAGGAATCGGTTGAGTGAGTGAATCGGTCTGAAATGAAGAGAAAATAGTCCCTAGCATTAGCAGTGTAACGCTACATTACGGCGGCTAATGGGGATCCAATGGCACATTAAAGCAGCAACTAGAACGAGAGAATGACTCCAGGAGAGGCCCAAACGACGACGCTTTTTATAACGTTTATTTATTTATTATTTATTTTTGAGCCACATCTGGTTAGATTTATGTATTTTTTTATACAATTCAAAAATTATAAAAAAATAAATAAATTACAGTTTGACTCGGTACATTTTGTTTTTTATTTTTAAATTTTTTTTATTATGCTATTTTCTGCTCAAAAAGAATCAATTTTGCGTAATAGAGGACCTTTAACGCAACATGGAATAAAAAAACGCACGTGTAAATCAAAATTGTTCCTCTTTAATCTGCTAGTTATGTCCATTATTTAAGACTGAGTTACTCTTTAATTTTTTTTATTAATTATTTGTTTTGAATCAGTGCAATTTAAAAATAAAATAAGATTTGTGTTGCCACAGACAGTTTTTATCCTTGTACAGTCATTTCGAACTTCTTCTGGACCAAGACTAGACTAAGACTAGATTAAGACTACACCAAAATGACCAAGACTGGGCCCAGACTTGACCAAGACTTGACCAAGACTGGGCCAAGACTGGACCAAGACTGGACTAAGACTGGACTAAGACTTGACCAAGACTGGGCCAAGACTTGACCAAGACTTGACCAAGACTTGACCAAGACTTGGCCAAGACTTGGCCAAGACTTGGCCAAGACTTGGCCAAGACTGGGCCAAGACTGGGCCAAGACTGGGCCAAGACTGGGCCAAGACTGGGCCAAGACTGGACCAAGACTGACCAAGACTCGACCAAGACTCGACCAAGACTCGACCAAGACTCGACCAAGACTCAACTAAGAATCAACCAAGACTTGACCAAGATACACCAAGACTCGACAAAGAATATACCAAGACTACACCAAGACTACATCAAAGTGACCAAGACTAGATTAAGACTAGATTAAGACTAGACCAAGACTAGACCAAGACTCGACCAAGACTCAACTAAGAATCAACCAAGACTTGACCAAGATACACCAAGACTCGACCAAGAATATACCAAGACTACACCAAGACTACATCAAACTGACCAAGACTAGATTAAGACTAGACCAAGACTAGACCAAGACTAGACCAAGACTAGACCAAGACTAGACCAAGACTAGACCAAGACGAGATCAAGACGAGACCAAGACTAGATCAAGACTTGACCAAGACTTGACCAAGACTCGACCAAGACTCGACCAAGGCTCGACCAGGACTAAACAAACACTACACCAAGACTGGACCAAGACAACACCAAGAATTGACCAGGACTCGACCAAAACTAAACCAAAACTTAAAAATGAATCTTCTTCTGCCAAGTCTCAGCCTCATACAGTTATTTTTTGTACTCAGGATGCCCTTCCACGGAGCCACATTATATTCGTACTTATTGGGGCACTTCATATCTCTTTCTGATTTATATTTCATAGTATTATTAGTATATTAATATAAGTTGTACAGTAATGGGCTCATTTAAGCTCATTTGAAGTGCGAACTAAACATTTTCCAAGGCTATGATCCCACTCAAACTCATTAAACTAAGTGATCATCTGGGGGCTAAATTCATCTACAACATTAGACGCTTTCTGATTACATAAGAAAATCAAACAGAAAGACTTAAAGCTGCACTATGTAGCTTTTTTCATTGGGGTCCGTCTCCTGCTCGTTTCTATGGTGATGTAATTGCTCTACTTGACATTTATTTAATTACAGGTGGGTTTATAGCTCAAAAATACCTAGAAAAACCGACATTCTGACTGTGAGCGGGGGTCGCCTCTCCGCAGATCTGACCTGTAACTTGGTCCGGTTTGGTCTCCATGAAGATAGAAAGGTTTAATGCCATACTGTGGAACATTCCAGACTAAGTAATAACATCTCCACAGAAAAAAAGTATTTGATGGAAAAACAGAAAAGTTACACAATGCACCTTTAGAAATTTTATTAAACATAGCTTATTTATTAATTATTTTTTATACCTTATAGTACTGCTACTACTACTACTACTTCTACTATTACTACTGCTACTACTACTTTTACTACTACTACTGTTGCTACTACTACTGCTACTACTACTACTACTACTACTACTACTACTACTATTACTCTTACTAATACTTCTGCTGCTACTACTACTATTACTACAAGTACTACTACTACTACTACTACTGCTACTACTACTACTACTACTATTACTCTTACTAATACTTCTGCTGCTACTACTACTATTACTACAAGTACTACTACTACTACTGCTACTATTACTATTATTACTACTACTACTACTGCTACTACTGCTACTACTACTACTACTACTACTGCTACTACTACTACTATTACTACACCTACTACTATCGTTACTATTATTACTACTATTCCTATTACTACTACTGCTGCTACGACTACTTCTACTTCTACTGCCACTATTACTAGTATTACTAATACTGCTACTACTACTGCTACTACTATTACTACTGTTACTATTACTACTACTGTTATTATTACTACTACTACAACTTTTTTTGAGTTGTCATACATTTTTTAAACGTTTTTGACATTACTAAAGTGTGCATTGAGTCTCCGTGGTAACCGCTGAACATTCCACCATAGACATGCATGTAGAATACCCCCCAGTTTAGTTCCTTTACGGAGTCCAGGATTAAACCACAAAGGCTCCTGAAAACGTGCTATCAATTTTGTATTCTTGTCTTGACTGTTTTCAGACTTTTGCATTCAGTCTCCATGGCTACGGCTAAACATTCCACCATAGAGATACATGTAGAGCTCGTTTTGCACAGTTTTCTTACATTACGCTGTTCTAATATGAGATTTCTTGCTTGTTTTTGAATGAAAGTGTTTTTTTTCTTTCTCTCTGTTCTCTCCGCTCTCCCGCCTGTTACCACTGGGGGGCGTTGTGCGTAGAGCAGCCTGCCCTCGTCTCCGGCCCTCACCCCTTCGCCGGGTCAGCCCCACAGCGGCGCCAGCATCAAGCCCCTCCCCCCCGGACTCTCCCCGCTGTCCCCGCTGTCCCCGCTCCCCCTCATGGCTCACCCGTCCCACCCGCACCCCGTCCTGCCTACAGCCTTCTGCCACACTGGACAAGGTCAGAACAACACAAAACTACTTTAATATTTAAGTTTTGGGGTTTTATTTTACTTTTTACAAGGTCAGATTTTAGTCTTCAGGTTAGATTTAGTGAGAAAATTGATTTAAACTTGCAAAACATACATAAATAACATGATTAATTTAGTGTTCTTACAGTTAAAAAAGTACTACCATCACAAGAGAACCGAGAGATTTAACCTCCACACAAATATAGATTTTTCTCATTCTCAGTTTGAGAAAGTTCAGAACCTCCAGAATTCACTCACTGAGCTGCAGAGGCTGCACTAGCACTCACTCATGGTTGGCTGCTTGTCACGTTGAAGCAGAGGGGCCACACAAAACGCAGGACTGTTCTTAAAGACCGGGACTGAGACCAGGACTGAGACCAGGACCAGATTGGGACTGAGACCGGGACTGAGGCCGGGACTGAGATCGGGAAAGGGAACAGGACCAGACCATGATTGAGACCAGGACTGAGACCGTGACCAGATTGGGACTGAGACCGGGACCAGATCGGGACCAGACCAGGACCAGATCAGGACTAGACCAGGACCAGACAGTGATTGAGACCAGGACTGAGACCGGGACCAGACCGGGACCAGACAGTGATTGAGACTGGGACTGAGACCGGGTTTGAGACCGGGTTTGAGACCGGGTTTGAGACCGGGATTGAGACCGGGACCAGACTGGGACCAGACCGGGACCAGACCGGGACCAGACCGGGACCAGACCGGGACCAGACCGGGACCAGACAGTGATTGAGACCAGGACTGAGACCTTGACTAGATTGGGACTGAGACCGGGACCAGATCGGGACTAGACCAGGACCAGACAGTGATTGAGACCAGGACTGAGACCGGGACCAGACCGGGACCAGACGGTGATTGAGACTGGGACTGAGACCGGGTTTGAGACCGGGTTTGAGACCGGGTTTGAGACCGGGATTGAGACCGGGACCAGACTGGGACCAGACCGGGACCAGACCGGGAACCAGACCGGGACCAGACTGGGACCAGACCGGGACCAGACCGGAACCAGACCGGGACCAGACCGGGACCAGACCGGGACCAGACAGTGATTGAGACCAGGACTGAGACCTTGACTAGATTGGGACTGAGACCGGGACCAGATCGGGACTAGACCAGGACCAGACAGTGATTGAGACCAGGACTGAGACCGGGACCAGACCGGGACCAGACGGTGATTGAGACCGGAGTTTGAGACCGGGTTTGAGACCGGGATTGAGACCGGGACCAGACTGGGACCAGACTGGGACCAGACTGGGACCAGACTGGGACCAGACCGGGACCAGATCGGGACCAGACAGTGATTGAGACTGGGACTGAGACCGGGTTTGAGACCGGGATTGAGACCGGGACCAGACTGGGACCAGACTGGGACCAGACCGGGACCAGATCGGGACCAGACAGTGATTGAGACTGGGACTGAGACCGGGTTTGAGACCGGGATTGAGACCTGGGACCAGACTGGGACCAGACTGGGACCAGACCGGGACCAGATCGGGACCAGACAGTGATTGAGACTGGGACTGAGACCGGGTTTGAGACCGGGATTGAGACCGGGACCAGACTGGGACCAGACTGGGACTTAGACCAGGACTGAAAACGGTTTAGTCGCAGTTTAAGTCACAGAAACGGGAAACGTTTTTTTCATTCTTCATTTAAACACAAAATCGAAAACTAAAAATTTAATCAGTTGTTTTTTTCATTTTCTTATTTTTGGTTTTATTTTGAAAAACGAATGAACGAATGATACACGGATTAGTTCTTTTAATCGTGTCTTTGTTAAACTCTTGTCTTGTGGTTTCAGGTGAAGCGCACTATTCTCTGGTGGGACAACCTCTGCAGTACAAACCCTCCATCAGAGCCCCACTGCTGCACACGGCCCACATGGTCACCAAACACCAGGTACACACTCCAACACTGCAACTAAACCAGGACTAAACCAGGACTAAACCAGGACTAAATCAAGACTAAACCAAGAATAAACCAGGGTAAAACTAGAACTAAACCAAGAGTAAAGCAAGACTAGACCAGGACTAAACCAGGACAAAACTAAGACTAAACCGAGACTACATCAAGACTAAACCAAGACTGAACTGGGACTAAACCAAGACAAAATCAGGACTAAAGCAAGACTAAACCAAGACTAGACCAGAACAAAAGTAGGACTAAACCATGATTATACCAAGAGTAAACCAAGACTAAACCAGGACTAAACCAAGACTAAACCAAGACTACATCAAGACTAAACCAAGACTGAACTGGGACTAAACCAAGACAAAATCAGGACTAAAGCAAGACTACACCAAGACTAGACCAGAACAAAAGTAGGACTAAACCATGATTATACCAAGAGTAAACCAAGACTAAACCAGGACTAAACCAAGACTAAACCAAGACTAAACCAGGACTAAACCAAGACTAAACCAAGACTAAACCAAGACTACACCAGGACTAAACCAAGACTACACCAGGACTAAACTAGGACTAAACCAAGACTAAACCAAGACTAAACCAGGACTAAACCAAGACTAAACCAAGACTAAACCAGGACTAAACCAAGACTAAACCAAGACTACACCAGGACTAAACCAGGACTAAACCAAGACTAAACCGAGACTAGACCAGGACTAAACCAAGACTAAACCGAGACTAGACCAGGACTAGACCAGGACTAAACCAGGACTAAACCAAGACTAAACCAAGACTACACCAGGACTAAACCAAGACTAAACCAAGACTAAAACAAGACTAAACCAAGACAAATCAGGACAAAACCAGGACAAAACCAGGACTAAACCAGGACTAAACCAGGACTAAACCAGGACTAAACCAAGACTAAACCAAGACTAAAACAAGACTAAATCAAGACAAATCAGGACAAAACCAGGAATAAACCAAGTCTACACCAAGACTAAACCAGGACTAAACAAGTCTTCAAAATAGTATCCATAGCAGAGGACAAACAAAGTGAATCCAACAGTTAAATTCAGTTTGATGTTCGACACAGCTGTAAAATGACAAATTCTGTAAAACATTTAGTCTGAACTGTTAATCGCTATGACAACATTGCAAATTTTTTATTATTCTGAAACCCGTGGATCAAAAAAGAGAAGTCTGAGAGAAGAACTGAGCCTAAATTTGCAGGGTTTGCGCGTTAAACGTGAAAATAAAACAAAAAAACACAACTCCAGGTCTGTTTGTGACGAGGAAACATTATTCCACAGATCAGAAAATAGTTTTAACTCGACTAAAACTTCAAATCCTCACTTGAACCTCATCCAAACTAGAAAAATATGGTAAGTTTTGGCCGAAATTATAAACCTGTTGCGTTGAAAGAGGTGAAAGGGCTTGATGTAACAGCCCTGACAGAGCCTCCATCAGCTCCGACTTATAAAAGGAACATTTCTGAACTTTTAATGACATCAGAAGAGCCCAAATAGCTCACCTAACAGCCACAGCTCAAAATGATGAAATACGAGCAGGTTTTTGAAACATATTTTTGGTTGGAAAAGTAACACACTGTCTAGACAAGTAAATTATCGCCGTGGTTACTTCACCGGAGCAGCTGCAATACCAAACTGGCATATTTTTAACTCTGAAATCCCGCTTTGAAAAGTGTACTTCGTTATTGCAATTTAAAGCTGCATTGTGTAACTTTTCTGCCGCAGGGTCCGTCAAATGCTCGTCTCCGTGGAGATGTTATTGTTTTGTCTGGAATGCTTCGCAGTACGGCATTAAACCTTTCCTAGTTTGTAAACCAGGACAAAACCAAGACTCTATAACATTTCTTTAGACACTTAAAGGTGCACTATGTAACCTTCCTAGGAGATCTGTCTGGAATCTTCCATAGTATCATAATATTATCGTAAGAAACTTATCTATTTTACATTTATTTAAAAACAAATGTAGTTACTGATCAAAAAAAAACATAAAATTTAACTGTGAACAGGGTCGCCGCTCCACAGATCTGACTTTATTTATTTATTTATTTGTATTTATTGTCTGTTTTTCCCCTTTGTTCTTTAGACACGCATCTTTATTTGAATTAGGGTGGACTGGAAACTTCTCTTGTAGCTTTTTTACTTTTTTAAAATACCTTGACAAGAATTTGGTGTGAATTATTTCCGCCATAATCCCAAGAATTCAAGTAAAAAACATATGTCTTCATGTTGTCTGTGCTGAAATGAATCATGGGATGTGTAGTTCCCGATGTTTATTAGCTATTGCATCTGTAAAACAATGCATTTAAGCAAAGGAACCTGTCATGTGATATATTGTGACGCTCCACGATATATTGTGAGACGTTTGACGATACGATGTCACGATATTTCAGTTATTGTTACATCCCTAAGTAAACTATTCTCACTTAATGTCATATTGAGAGAAAATCTAATTGCCTTGAGGCCTCTCCCATTAGTGGCACTTAGGGCAATTGTTCGGGGGCCCCTCCAGGTGCAGGGGGCCCTAAGCGGCCGCCTACTTTTGCCTAATGGTAGTGCCGCCTCTGTAGTATATTTTACAAACAAAGCAGTTTACAAAGTGCTGCACAGAGATCATAAAATGAAGACAACAACAACAGGGTAAATTGCTAAAATGTGGTCCTAAAACAATAAAACCAGTAAAATCAAATAAAACCCAAACCATAAAAATAATAAAATAGCAGTAAATAAGTGAAATAAATAAAATAAAGATAAGTTTAATGGCATATGGTGGAACATTCAAAGCAAAAAATAAGCAGGCAGTAGATCCTTCACCTGACTAAATCAAGACTAATCCAAGATTAAACTGGGACTAAACCAGGACAGAACTAAACCAAGACTAAACCAAGACTAGACCAGGACTAAACCAGGACAAAACTAGGACTAAACCAGGACAGAACTAAATCAAGACTAATCCAAGATTAAACTGGGACTAAACCAGGACAGAACTAAACCAAGACAAAACCAGGACTAGACCAGGACAAAACTAGGACTAAATCAGGACTATACCAAGACTAAACCAAGACAAAACCAGGACTAAACCAAGACTAAACCAAGACTAAACCAAGACTAAACCAGGACTAAACCAGGACTAAACCAAGACTAAACCAAGACAAAACCAGGACTAGACCAGGACTAAACCAAGACTAAACCAGGACTAAACCAAGACTAGACCAGGATTAAACCAAGACAAAACCAAGACTAGACCAGGACTAAACCAAGACAAAACCAGGACTAAACCAAGACAAAACCAGGACTAGACCAGGACTAGACCAGGACTAAACCAAGACTAAACCAGGACTAAACCAAGACTAAACCAGGACTAAACCAAGACAAAACCAAGACTAAACCAAGACAAAACTAGGACTAAATCAGGACTAAACCAAGACAAAACCAAGACTAGACCAGGACTAAACCAAGACAAAACCAAGACTAAACCAGGACTAAACCAAGACTAGACCAGGACTAAACCAAGACAAAACCAAGACTAAACCAGGACTAAACCAGGACTAAACCAAGACTAAACCAAGACTAAACCAAGACTAGACCAGGACTAAACCAAGACAAAACCAAGACTAGACCAGGACTAAACCAAGACAAAACCAGGACTAAACCAAGACAAAACCAGGACTAAACCAAGACAAAACCAAGACTAAACCAGGACTAAACCAAGACTAAACCAAGACAAAACCAAGACTAGACCAGGACTAAACCAAGACAAAACCAGGACTAAACCAAGACTAGACCAAGACAAAACCAAGACTAAACCAAGACTAAACCAGGACTAAACAAGACTAAACCAAGACTAAACCAAGACTAAACCAGGACTAAACCAAGACTAAACCAAGACTAAACCAAGACTTGACCAGGACTAGACCAGGACTAAACCAGGACTAAACCAAGACTAAACCAAGACTAAACCAAGACAAAACCAGGACTAAACCAGGACTAAACCAAGCCTAAACCAAGACTAAACTACGATTAAACCAAGACTAAATATACATATCATATAAACGTCATCTCCATAGAAACAAGCAGGCAACGGACCCCAAATTGAAAAGTTACACAGTGCATCTTTAACTCCACCTGTCCACGCACATTAAAAAAACAATAACTCTGTAAAGAACGACTCTGTAATGTTGTTTCGTTTCCCTGGAGACGGTATTGAATTTGAAATCGGAGGTATTTCCCAAACGGCTTTAAATTGGCAGGATATTTTGTAAACAGGACATTGTGTGGTTATTTAATACTCGTGTACACAGACAGGGGGCGCTAACACAATCACAGGTCTTCAGATTTGGATAACGCGCACAGACACGCTGGAATAAGTGGATTTTATTGCTCCGCTCGTAATGTTGTGAAAATTAAACATGTCCAGGTTTGTTACGGTTTAAATGTGAAACCAGAGCGGACCACGGAGAACAGAGGTTTACAAATGGACAAAGAAAGAAACCAGAGCTGGACTAAACCAAGGACGAAACCAGGACTAAACCAGAGATAAACTAAGGACTAAACCAGGGATAAACCAAGACAACATCAGGATTAAACCTGGACTAAACCAGGTCTAAACCAGGGCTAAACCAGGACAAAACCTGGGCTAAAACCAGGACTAAACCAGGACTAGACCAGGACTAAACCAGAAGTAAATCAAAAGTAAACCAGGGCTACACCAGGACTAAACCAGGACTAAACCAAGACTAAACCAGAAGTAAATCAGGACTAAACCAGGACTAAATCAGGACTAAACCAGGGCTAAACCAAGACTAAACCAAGACTAAACCAGGACTAAATCAGGAATAAAAAAGGACTAAACAAGGACTAAAACAGGACTAAACCAGGGCCAAACCAAGACTAAACCAGAAGTAAATCAGGACTAAACCAAAAGTAAATCAGGATTAAATCAGGACTAAATCAGGACTAAACCAGGACTACACCAGGATTAAAACAGAACTAAACCAGGGCTAAAACAAAGGACAGAAGTAAATGAGGACTAAACCAGGACTAAACCAGCGTTAAACCACACCAGATAAAACCAGGAGAAAGTTTCTATGACATTTTTTTCTGTACTATGTAACTTTTCTAGTGGACCCACGGTTTCCACAGTCTCCATGGAGATCTGCCTGGAATCTTCCACAGTGTAATATTATAGATTGATAGTATAAATTATTATGGTATAACTTTATATAAAGAAATGTGTCTATCTTACATTTATTCAAAGACAGATGTAGTATAAACCAGAGCTTTCAGGACTCACACAGTAGGACTTGTACCACATTTTAAAACCACTGTTCTTAAATATATCATCATTTAGTTTTGTTGTCTTGTCTTTTTCTGCACAGGCTCCTCTGGGCGTGTGGCGCAGCGGTCACGGGAGAAGAGCCAACCGCAAACCTGTGTCCACAGACCTGAGTGTACGTCTCTCTAACATAAACACACACAATATATATCTAATACAGTCTCATTTAAAGGGCCCACCTCATGCAAAATAACTCTTTTCACATTGTATCTTCTGCACATAAACAAGCACAGTTTGGGTTTTGGAACATCCATTACACAATAGTTATGAAATCTTACTGATTTCTTGGAGACAGTCACAGAGCAGGAACTATGAAAGACCGACTATTGTTCCTCCCCCCGCCCGTCCTGAGAAAGCACAGGCTCCTCCCTCCAAACGTGACGTAGACTCTGAGTGAGCCGCCCTTCCTCCGCCGTCTCAGGGAGGGAGGGGGAGACAGACGTGCACCCTGATAGAGGTAGAAATAAACTTTGATTCATCATGGAGATACAGCGCGTTCAGCCGCATGTGTTGGACCCAGAATCAGACGAGGACTTGGAGGAGCACGAAGCTCAAGCACCGCGTCCACATCAGCTGAACATTACTGATTGGTAAATTATTAATATACGCTAGTAGATAAACTTATTATATCGTGTTCACCAGCAGGGTGGAAACGAAGCACTTTCTGCTACGTCAAACGCGTCATCGTTGTAGCAGCTTTAGTTTGTTGTCACGTGGGAGAGTGGCAGAAATAAACGCCGAGTTTAATTTAAAAATTTGTTTTAAAAAAAGCTGAATCAATCTAAAAACCACTTTGGCGACATATACAAGGCCCACACACACTCTTAGAAGGTTGAAAGCTCTGAAAAGTTGATTTTGCATGAGATGGGCCCTTTCATCTCATTTAAACAAACTTTACTGGTATAAAACTGTTTTCGCATGATAATGAACTAAGATAGTAAAAGAAATAAAAGCCCAAACTTGAGCATAGGTCACGTAAACAGACCAACATTTGTAATCAATTCAAATTTTATGAATCAAAGAATCAAAGTAGTTCAAGCCATAAAAAAGCAGCTTATTTTACTATATTTTTTTGGAGTTGAGATGAACTAAAAAAAGTTTATTAAGCACAAAGTTCGGGGTTTTGCACTGTGCCACTTACTTCTTACTTAGGATTTTTCAAAACATCTAATCCAACTTTATTTGTACAGCGCATTTTACCCACACAAAGTCTCCAAAGTGCTGCCCAGAGTCGGCACGAAATAAATCAACACTTTAAATCAAATAAAGCATAAAATAAATAAAAAAAGCAAGTCAATAAAAAATATAAAAAATACTAAAAATAGCAAATAAAATAAATAAAAGACAATGAGGGGACCACACAGATCTCACGCCGTGTTAAAATTAATCTAAAGTTCATTTGCACTGTGTGACTTTTCTGTGCTGCGTCTGCCACTTATTTCTCAACACCTCCATGGAGACGAACCAAAAAGCTCCACAACGCAGCTTTAATTTAATATTTGAGTATATTCAAGTCGGTTTTACGTGTAAAATAATCAGTAATAACGTGAGATCGAGGTTTGACGATGAACTCTTTTGTTCAAATGTGAAATCCATTATTCAAAGTGTCCATTAATATCCATGTTACTCATAATTAAATCATTACAGCGGATTAAAGGAGGAGAGTTTGATAAGGATTCGTAAAAAAAAAGACGAGAATATGAGCGCCGTTTTATTGTGGAAATCTGCACGCTGAAGAAAGACGGAGAGAATAAAGAGACAAAGAAAGAGAGAGATAAAGAAGAGAGAATGAATTAAAGGAAGAGGAAGATGACGAAGAGAGAAGGTGAGTAGCGAGATCGAAAACAGGGAGAGAGGAGGTAGAAAGGAAGGAGAAGAGGAAGAGAAAGATAAATAAATGAGAGAAAAGGGTGGAAGGAGAAGAGAGAAAAAGGAATAGGTACAGACAGCGGGAGATTGAGGAGTGTGGAAAAAAAAAAAGAAGAGAAACGGAGTGAGGACGAGAGAGAGAAATAGATGCAGAGAGGACGGATTAGAGAGAAAGAAAGAGGGAGGGAGAGATGAAGAAATATGGAAATGGAGGGATAGAAAGAAGTGAGGAGAGAGAGAGAGAAGAGTGAAAATGAGGTTGTGGGAGGAGGTGTGAGTTTGTGACATGTAAGCAAAATAATTTCACAGACGACGCAGAATTCACACCTGGAACTGCTCCACTCTCTTTCTCTCTCTCTCTCTCCATCTTTCTCTCCCTTTTTCCTCAGTGTGCTGATTATCTCAAATAGCACCTCTCTCCATCCCTCTTTTCTCACTCTTATTTTTCTTCTCCGTCTCTTTCTCTCACTGTCCTAATAATTTCAACTAGCACCTCTCGCTTTCTCTCTCTTTCCCTCCCTCCCTCTTTCTGTCAATGCACTAAATATTCCAAATAGCTTCTCTCTCTCCCTCTCTCTGTCTCTTCCCCTCTCCCTCCATCTCTCAATGCGTTGATCATTTCAGATAGTCTCTCTTTCTTTCCTCCTCTCACTTTACCCCTGTCTCCCTCACCTCTCTCCCTGTCTCTGTCTCTCTCTTTTCCTATCTCCTTTTGTCGCTCTTTCTTCTCCTCTGTCCCCTCTCTCTCTCTCTCTTCCTCTCTCTCCCTGTCTCTCTTTTCCTCTGTCTCTCTCCCTGTCTCCCTCTCTCTCTTTTCCTCTCTCCCTTGTTTCGCTCTCTCTCTTTTCCTTTGTCTCTTTTCCTCTCCCTGTCTCTCTTTTCCTCTCTCCCTCTCTCTCTTCTTCTCTCATCCTCTCTCTCCCTCTCTCTCTTTTCCTCTCACTCTCTCTCTTCCTGTCTCTCTCTCTCTCCTCTCCTCTCTCCCTCTGTCACTCTCTCTCTTTTCCTCTGTCCCTCTCTCTGTCTTCTGCTCTCATCCCCTGTCTCTTTTCCTCTCTCTTCTCTCTCCCTGTCGTTCTTTTCCACTCTCCTTCCCTGTTTTCCTCTCTCGCTTTTCCTCTTTCCTCCCTCTCTCTCTCCCTCTTTTCCTCTCTCCCTTCCTCGCTCTTTCTCTTTTCCTCTGTCCATTTCTCTCTTCTTCTCTCATCTCCTGTTTCTTTTCCTTCCCCTCTCTTTTGTCTCTCTTTTCCTCTTTCTCTCTCCCTGTCTCCCTCTCTTGCTTCCTCTGTCCCTCTCTCTCTCTTCTTCTCTCATCCCGTCTCTTTTCCTCTCTCTCTTCTCTCTCCCTGCCTCTCTTTTTCCTCTCTATCTCCCTCTGTCTCTCTCTCGCTTTTCCCTCTTTCTCTTTCCTCTATCTCTTCCTCTCACTTTTCCTCTCTCCCTCTGTCTTTTCCCCTCTCTCTTCTTCTCTCTCCATGTCTCTCTTTTCCTCTCTTTCTGTCTCACCCTATCTTCCTCTCTCTCTCTCTCTCTCTCTCCTTCTCTTCCTCTCTCTCTGTCTCTTTCACTTTCTCCTCCACTCGTTTGTCTTTTATTCACTCTCTTCTGTCGACAATTTCAGTCAAAATTCATCCATCTCCTCTGTCTGTGTATTCATATATTCCAGTTCAAAGTTCACGTCTGCAGCCCCTGATTCTATTTAGAAGCGATTTCAACGTTTAATTTTGGTTTAAATTTTGGACCGGAGTCAAATTTTCAGCGTTCGTTCTTTAAAAATCTTTTGCGAGACTGAAAAATAGTCGTAAAAATGAAAGAATGAACCTTGACATGGTGCTGTAAATCTGTCAGCCAAATCCAAAATTACTTCTTATTTAGAAACTTATTTTTGTTGCTATTTTAAAGGTGCATTACGTAACATTTCTAGTGCAGTGTCCATGGAAATGCTGCAGCTTTGTCTAGAAAGTTCAACAGTACAGATTCAACCCATCTATCGCCATGGAGACGAGCAGGATCTGCGGAGAGGCGCCTCTACTCGCAGAAGGAATTATTGTATTTTTGAGCTTTAGAAACACTCGTAATGAGTAAATACCAGCTGGAAATGTTTACGGAACATTCTAGGCAAAGCAATAACATCACCATGGCGACAAGTAGCACAGAAAACCACCAGAAAAGTAACGCAGTGCACCTTTAAGATCGATAAATACATACTTTAGTTAAAATTTTATTGTCTTTAGATAACTCACTGAGAAAAAAGTATTACAAGATTTACAGATTTTACAATATCAGAAATTATTTTACATTTTAAAGCTGCACTGCGTAACTTTTCTGGTTGAGTACTTTCCTACCTGCTTGTCTCCATTGTTTTTATTATTATCAATATTTATAATTCTATTTCTTCGTATTAAAATTGAAAATTGAGTGTGAAATTTTAGCATCATGACAACACTTTTATCTCTCGAGCTCTTCTCGCTAGACTTAAAGCTGCACTGTGGAACTTTTTTTCGTCGAGGATCCGCCACCTGCTTGTTTGTTTATCTAAGATTTATTTAGGATTTTTCAAAATATCCAATCCAATCCGATCCAGCTTTATTTGTACAGCGCATTTTACCAACGCAAAGTCTCCAAAGTGCTGCACAAAGTAGGCACAAAATAAATCAACAAATTAAATCATATAAAGCATAAAATAAATAAATAAACAGGTCAATAAAAAACATAAAAAATACTAAAAATAGCAAATAAAATAAATAAAATACAGTCAGAGGGCCACACAATTCTCACGGCGTGTTAAAATTAAAAATAATTTACATAGAGATGTGCGAATATACAATATAACAGCTTATTATGGACACATCTTTAAAAAAAAAAGAGAAACTAAAAAAGCAAAAATGCACAAATACACACACACACAAAAAACACATGCTTGTTTCCATGGATACGTCATTGCTCTGCCTGGAATGTTCCACAGTGTGTCATTAAACAGCTTTACATTACATATATTCAATTATAGGTGGTTTTATAGCTCAAACATACATAGAAAAACAGACATTCTGACTGTGAGCGGGGTCGCCTCTCCACAGATCTGACCTGTAATTATTCGTCTGGTTTGGTCTCCATGAAGACTGAAATGTTTAATGCCATACTGTGGAACATTCCAGACAGGAGAAAAGCATTTGATGGACACAATCCAACTTAAACCATTCACAGTTGCCGTTTTCAAATCCTCTTTTTAGCTTTGTTTTGCTTGTTTTTCTCGTTTATTTACTTAATTTTTTTCCATGTTTTTCCTCTTTCCTGCAGTGAAAACCGAAGCTGTGGAGACGTCGAGATTTCTCCACCAAAATAAACCCAAATCTCGGCGAAGAACTACACCTACAATCAAAAAAAAAAAACATTCAAACTACTAAAGGACGGTGCGAAGAGGACTATTTAAAGCTGCTACTACTTCACAAATGTTTACCTTTAATTTATTTTTTATTTTTCTCAAATCCGAGCAGTTTCCAACACGGCCGCCGCAGCGTTACGGGATTAAATTACAATTACTTAATGCCTATAAGGTTTTGTGTTGCCATAGCAGCATTAAGGAGGTTTCGAAAAGTTGCCATTGTTAAAACCAAGTGTAATATTTTTGCATTTAAATTTCTACATATCTCTAATATATATATTGTTATAAAAATTGTGCTTCTCAGTTTTATTTTTTTTTTGTCTTCATTAACCTGGAAATTATAGAAGATTGTAAAGGTTCATGTCACCAGTTTTCACGACCGTAAAAAGGCCCATAACGTACAATAGATTTAAATAGAAATACTAGCTTAAATATACCGTCATTTTACGCACTTCGAATGTTGTTTTTGCACTGATTTGATGGAGGTTTGTTGCACTCATCCGAATTTTTTATATTTAAATTAAAATGTTTATATATGCACAACAAAAATGCAATCTTATGTGGCTTTGTTTTCTTTTTTTTTTTTTTTTTTTTTTTTTTTGGGAGAATTATGAGAGGTGCTCCGTATCTGGTGTGACTTCTTTCTGTCTGATGTCAATAAATGTTTTCACCACTCGTGTTGACATAAATTTAATATAAAAGAATCAAAAATATTACAGGATAAATTAGTTTTGGAGTTAATTGTTTTAAGAAGAGACGCTAATTAAAATCTTGACACGTTTAAAGTGATAATGTTGCAGTAAGCGGTGAGACAGAGACCCCTACTGGTGGAAAACTGGTAATACACTTTCACATCTTTTTTATTAGGCCTACACAAAATATTATATTAAATTATTATTTTTTAAATATTATATAGATTACTTGGCTAAATTATTAAACGTTAATGCTGGGAAACATGTATTGTATTTAACTTTATTTAACACTGGTTTCCTGGTTTAGTTCTGGTTTAATCCTTATTTAATCTTGGTTTATTTTGGGTTTAGACCTAGTGTAGCCCTGGTCTAGTTCTGGTCTAGCACTGGTTTAGTCCTGGTTTAGTTTTGCTTTTGTTCTGGTTTAGTCCTAGTGTAATCCTGGTCTAGTCCTGATTTATTCCTGGATTAGTCCTAGTTTAATCCTGATTTAGTCTTGGTTTTTTCCTAGTTTAGTCCTGGTCTAATCCTGATTTAGACCTGGTTTAGTCCTAGTTTAGACCTGGTCTAGTTCTGGTTTATCACCCAATTTAGTCCTGGTCTAGTCATCATTTAGTACTGGTTTAGTTCTGGTTTAGTTCTTTCCTGAATTAGCCCTAATTTAGTCCTGGTTTAATCCTAGTTTAGTCCTGGTCTAGTTCTGGTCTGGTACTGGTTTAGTCCTGGTCTAGTAATTGTTTAGTACTGGTTTAGTTCTGGTTTAGTCCTCTTCTAGTCCTGATTTAGGCCTAATTTAGTCCTGGTTTAGTTCTGGTCTGGTACTGGTTTAGTCTTGGTATAGTGCTGTCCTGTTTTAGTCTTAGTTTAGCTCTCGTCTAGTCCTGGTCTACTCCTGATTTAGCCCTAATTTAGTCCTGATTTAGTCCTAGGTTAGTCCAGGTCTAGTCCTGATCTAGTCCTGGTTCAGGAGGTCTAAACTAGACTCATTTTAAACTGTATTTTTAATGTCTTTTGCCTTTAGTGTTATAATATTAACATAAGCTTCAATCACAATGCAGGATTTGAATGAAAAACGTGAAAAAACAAAAATATACAAATGTACAAACTCTACTTCAGGACTTAACAAAAATATTAAAACATATTTCTCTCCAATTTACCAGCGCTCTGTGAAATGAAGAGTCAAAGTTTTCTAATAATCTGACAATTAAATTCTTACTTCGTGGATCTGCAGTAGGCTACCTCAATCTAAATGACTGTTGGACTTAAAGACGCACTACGAAACTTTTCTGGCACAGGGTCCACCGCCATCTTGTCCCCATAGTGATATCATTGCATTGCCTGGAATGTTCCACAGTACTAGATCAGACTAGACCAGGACTAAATCAAGACTAAACCAGTACTAGACCAGGATTAAATTAGGACTAAACCAGGATTAGACTAGGACTAGACCAGGACTAAACCATTACTAGACCAGAACCAGCCCAGGACTAGACTAGGACAAAACCAGGATTATGCCAGGACTAAATCAGGACTAGACCAAGACTAAACCTGTACTTGACCAGGGCTAGACCAGGACTAAACCAATACTAGACCAGAACTAGCCCAGGACTAAACCAAGACTAAACCAGGACTAAATCAGGACTAGATCAGAACTAAACCAGGACTAGACCAGACTAAACCAACAGACCCGACTAAACCATTACTAGACCAGAACTACCCCAGAACTAACCCAGGACTAAACCAGGACTAAACGATTACTAGACCAGGACTGAACTAGGACTAAACCAGAACTAAATCCAGGACTAGATCAGGACTAAACCAGGACTAAATCAGGACTAGATCAGAACTAAACCAGGACTAAATCAGGACTAGATCAGAACTAAACCAGGACTAAATCAGAACTAAACCAGGACTAAATCAGGACTAGATCAGAACTAAACCAGGACTAAATCAGGACTAGATCAGAACTAAACCAGGACTAAATCAGGACTAGATCAGAACTAAACCAGGACTAAGATGTTAAAGTTATATTACATTACGTGTTTCCCAAAATGCTCCACCGAATGTTAAACTTTTTCTTTTTTTGTTTTTAAATTGTTCAGAAATCCCTTGAAAAACATAAAGCATCACAGTGAGTGGGCTCGCCTCTCCACAGATTTGACTTGTACCATTGCCCTGGAGACATCACCTGCCTGTATCAGTGGGGATGGTGATTTTATAATATACTTCTCATTGTAAATCACTGTGAATTTCTTTGGGTATGAACTGCGGTAATAAACTTTGCCTTAATGCTACACTGCGGAACATTCCAGACAAAGCAATAGCATCACCACGAAGACCCCACACCTGAAAAAAAAAAAAAAAAAAAAAAAAGTTCAAGCGTGATCAATATTGAAAGAGAAGCACGTGTAATCTGGTCTGGTTCACACTGACCAACCCTGCAGGATTCTTATAAACTTTTTTTTTTCTTTTTTTTCCCCGCTCGTCTCCAGCCGCTAATCTCACCGCATTTCGGATTTAGCGCGTCTTATCTTCACCCCACAGAGCGCAGGTAACGTCTAAAAGCTACTTAGAAATCCCGTAAACTCAGCGGAAATCAACAATGCCGCCGCGTAGACAAAGAGAAGCGACGACGGCGGCGGCCATGTTGGTAAGGTTAGAGTGGAGTAGATTTGCGCCATTTACACGGGCCAAATTGAAGTAGCGCGGAACAAAGTGGGGGCCATACAAAGTGCATCCCGCTACGAGTCTTAGGCCCAGATGAGAAAAAGGATTACATTTTCTTATCGTGTCCAGTTCGTGTAAAAAGGTGGCACAGGAGACAGAGACTAAAGAGGAGGGAGCCACCTGGAGCAAAGAGATAAGAGACACTAGACTAGACTAGACCTCACATGCTTAAACATAGTGGACATGCTCAATACAATCAAAATATCAAACATAAATAAGTCAGATTTTCATAATAATAACATAGAAAACATAAGTCGCCGTGTTTGTGTCTTTATTTGGTTTAAAATGTGTTTAACAAACCGACTTAGTCCTACATCAGTGAAGCTTTAAAGGAACTGTAGTCTGCCCTCTGCTGGTAGAAAAAAGGTACTACAACAATAATAATATTAATACAGCTGATCCTGACTCTGTATTACCCCAAATTAATTCGTGTGAGCTTTAGTTGTGTTTTGTTTCATTCACACATGTTTAAGTAAACTTTTATTATTATTCTGTTTACATCTCTAAAGCGTAAAATGCTCTGTTCCACCCTGTGATGTCATAAAGTGGTAGTTTTCAAGTTTAACATAAACTTTTTAGCTTTGGTTCAGTAGAGATTGGAAATTCTTCAGCTGAAATGATCCAAATGATTCTAGTGAAGGTGTATGGAGTTTAAAAACACTGTGGAGCACTTCCTGTATTACTCAGTGTGCATGAAATCACAAGACGGAATAGACTTTTTAACAATTTGAGAGAAGAACTGAGTCTAAATACGGAGGATTTGTGTGTTAAACGTGTGTGAATGAAACAAAACACAACTCCAGATCTGTTTGTTACGGTGATGAGGAAACAAAAATTATAAAATAATTCAGAAAATATCTTAATACGTTTAACCTGCTGATAGAAACACATCCAAGTTTTTCTCATTCTCGGTAAATGGACAAACCTCGTATGAAAGCTCAGAACCTCCAGAATATCCTCACTGAGCTGCAGAGGTTGCACTAGCACTGACTCATTTCAGGTTTAAACCAATTGGAGTTCAGCAAAACACTAAATTGAACAACTTTGAAATCATGTCCAGCATTTTTAAAGCTCAGAATAAATCAGCGTTATAGATATTTTCATTAAAGCTGTATTTGATTTGAACATGTCTACCTCATATCTAGAGATTCATAATTCAAGTTTTTTAAATTTAAAATAGAAATCACTACATATTGTTCCTTTATAGAAACCTGCAAACCCAATTTTATTTATTTTTTATTCTGAAATTGCCCTTAACAAACACTAGATGGCGACATTGCAACATTAAAGATTTTGACACTTATTTCTTTTCCATAACAATAGTGATTCTTTATTTTATCAACTAGTTTGAATCATTGAAGGCTCACAAAAGTCCTTACTCCTTAAGCCTTAAAGGTATGTAACTTTCTGTTGGAGGGTCAGGCACCTGTTAGTCTCCATGGAGATGCTTGGTCCAGAATGTTCCACAGTATGGCATTTATTAATTTATTTACCTTGCATTTATTTATAGATAAACGTGTTAGTGTCATCTCCTTTCCACAGATCTGACCTCGTGACATCACCTTATTTTATTCATAAATATTCATAATGCCAAACTCTGGAACACATACTCCCTACAACTGTATGACAACTCACCTTTATGTAATGGATAATACTCCCTACAACTGTACAACACCTCACCCTTACTGTATGTAACAGATAATACTCCCTACAGCTGTACAACAACTCACCTTTAAGTAACAGATAATACTCTCTACAGCTGTACAACAAGGATAATACTCCCTACAACTGTACAACACCTCACCCTTACTGTATGTAACAGATAATACTCCCTACAGCTGTACAACAACTCACCTTTAAGTAACAGATAATACTCTCTACAGCTGTACAACAAGGATAATACTCCCTACAACTGTACAACAACAAAACTCACTCTTATGTAACAAATAATACTCCCTACGACTGTACAACAACTCACCTTTATGTAACAGATAATACTCCCTACAACTGTAAAACATCTCACCTTTGTGTTACAGATAATATGCCCTACAACTGTGCAACAACTCACCCTTCTGTATCAGATAATACTCCCTACAACTGTACAACAACTCGGCCTTCTGTAACAGATAATAGTAATGCAGTACACATTTGTCGCCACTTGGGGTCAGTGTGTCTCTGCGCTTCTTTCTCGTTATAAATAAGGGCTTAGGGCAGAAAAAATAAATAACTCTAAGCGTGTCAGCTAAACGTCTTATGATCGTAATGCTATCTCCTACACGCGCGCCGATCTGCCCATTATTATTCAAACGCGCGCGCTCCACCGCACAGATAATTGAGTCATTATGTAAAAACGCGATAATGTCATCCGGTCCGGTTGCCATG